GGTGTGTGGATGGGGACATGTGGTGGACAAGGTTTGTGGAAAGTTGTGCTCCTTGCCCTGCTCAGAGCTGCAGCTCCTCAGCCCAGTCCAGCCCAACCTCTGCACTAAAACCAGTGGGGAATCACCACCCCCATGAATTTATTCTGCTCCCTCAGTTCCTGAGCAATGGCAGGAACAACAGCAAAGGCAGTTGTTTACCAGTGCATGGTAAACAACAGGTCAGGACTGGTTTGCATTCACTTGTTGCAACTGTAGCACCCTCGGATCAGGTTGGCAGTAGCAGGAACTCTGATGGTAACACAGGGAAATCCAGAGGACAGGTCAGGATTGGGGCTGTCCTGCCTGGGCTCACAGGGGTAATGAGGGAAAACAACCCCAGGGCCAACAGCTGGCTAAGCAGGGAGAGATTGGACCAGCTGCCAGCAGCTTCCCTGAGACATTGGGGTGTCACAGCCAGGGGAACACACACTGCCCACACAATGGGTGTCCTTTCCTGCCTGACCTTAATGTTGGCAAGAAAACCCTGTCATGGCAAGCAAAATGAGAACCAGAGCCACTCAGTTACAAGCAAGCCTTTAATGAACTGTCTTTAAAGGGTTCAAAACATTAACTCTGACTGGGAGATGTTGGCAACCTGTGGCAGCTTCAGATAGACTGAGTTCCAGAAGGTCACATAATCAGATCTCAGGTCCTGCTTCACAGAGTTCTTGTTCAGCTTGTTGTTGATATCCAGGTAGTATTTGGCCTTGTTGGTGTAGGCTGGCCAGGAAACGGGCACATCCGAATGCCCTTTGTTGGGATCACTGGGGAAAAGTGAAACACAGAAGCTCAGTTGTGTGAGGGCAGCTTGGGATGCAGTTTAAGTACGTGAACATGTAGAGTATTTGACAGTGGGATAAGCAATATGAATTCTGCCTGCCAGGAGTGAGCTGATGTCCTGCAGTCGCCTCCTTCCATCCCCACTGGCATCATCCCTGGCTCCACACAGGGACTTAGGTCCTGCCTGAATACCAGCATTCAGGAGTAAACCTCATCAAGTGGAAGCAGAGATCATAAATGGTCACGAAAATGCCTCTGCCCTCCCCAAGAGTATGATGGATGAGGAGAACCCAGAGGAAACTCCAGCCCTGTGAGACACAGAGCCCTGCTCTAAACACAGAGAAGTTCTTGGAATGTTCCTGAAAACTCAATGGGCAACACCAGCAGCCTGAAGGGCTGCATCAAGCCCCAAATGTGGAATGAGAATCACTCACCCAGTCCTGGCAAAATTGGTCCAGTAAGCAATCATGGCCTTTGAGACAGTCCTGTGCTTGGGCAGGTAGCCCAGCGGGGTGGCAAAGGGCTTCCCAAACACGTACTGCAGGTCATCAGCATGGTCTGCCCCGACCCAGCTGGGGTAGATGGGCATGCGGGACGGCTGGGAGAACAAGTAGCTGTAGGTCTTGCCACTCCTGGGAAATGAAAGAGACTGGCTGAGCAAGGAGAAAGCAGAAAAAGGGCTGCAGTTTCAAACCAACGCTCCAAATACTGCCAGGGTCAGAGATTCAGCCTTGGAAGATGCTCACATGCATCACCTCACACGGGGTGGTTTCAGGAGAAAACACCCTAAGGCCATTTCTAAATTCCATTTCCAGTTCTCGCCCTAACCCTCCTCCATCTGCAACAGCCAGGGCTGAGCTGCTCACTTGGCATTCTGCAGGTGCAGGTCCAGTGCCACCTGTGTGGGAATCAGGAAGATGTAGTCAGTGATCAGCTCCACCACTGTCTTCTTCACGACCTCCTGCTTGGGTGTGTCACCCCAGCTCTGTGTGTAGATGTTGTAGGTGGCGTTGGCTCCAGCCTCGCCCCTGTCCACGGTGAGGCCTTTGATCAAATTGTACACCTGGTCCCTGAAATGACAAGTGATATTAATTAATTACTGACCAGCAGCTTCAGCAAGGGCAGGGCTCCTGCCCGGTCCTTTCTCTTGAAGGCTCTGGACTCGGCAACAAATGGCCTGGGCAGCCAGGCTCGGAGTGTCATCCAGTTTTGAAGGCCGTGCCTTGTCCACTCAAGTCTAACTCTTTGGGGCCTGGGAGCTGCACTGAAGAGCAAATGTCTCCTGTTGAGGGTTCTGAGAGCATCTGTCACTCACGCAGTGACTTTCCGCAGCGGGCCGTTGATGGCGGGCACATCCACGCCGGCAAAGATGTGCCCGTCCATGTCATTGACCCCGGCCAGGTAGTCGATGTCAGCAGCGTTGGCAAAGAGATTCTCTGGCGTGTCTGGGAGGAAATCCCCATCGACCACAGGAGCGAGGGCGAGGGTGTGCACCAGGGGCACTGCAGGACACAAGAGTGGAGTTAGGAGGTGAGGAAACACAAATGTGTGCTCTGGCATATCCCATCACTCAAAGAGCTCAGGAGAGAACAGGCTGAGGTAAATGACAGCTTGAGTAGTGACTTCAGTATGGGCAGGAGGTCACCCAGATGCAGGGTAAACCTCATAGCTGTGGCTGCCAAAGAAGGGCCAGAAGAAGAGATCAGCCAGCCAAACACCACCTGGTAACATCCACAAATCCTCTCCTCCTGCAAATGCCTTCCCAAATAGTTCAGCAAAGATAGGAAAGAGCTGAACTTCTCATCCCACCTGACCATGATCTCTGATTGTAAGGACAGTCAGCGCCACAGTGTGCAGTATCACAGCAGTGTTTTGACCACTGCTTTGACCTCTCTTTTCTGACCAAGGTTAAAAGCTGTGATTTGCAATCAGGAGCGCCAGGAGAATCTTCCTCGGAAAGGAATCTCCACGGGCGCAAACGCAGCAGCGTTCCTACACTCCACCCAGCGACTCAAAGAGAAATTGCAAGGATGTGATTTCTTTACAAGCCATTTTCTGGCATTGCACTTGCTGCTTTCACAGAACAGGAAGCCCAAACAGTTGCCCTGAGGCCAAGGCAGGGCCATTGGATAATCCCCCTGCCACTGCTGCCATTGCATGGTGGGCAGTGTTCATCTGGTGCAATGTGCATCAGCCCACAGAAAAGTGACTTCAAGAGCTCCAAATAAAGTCCCTTTTCTGTAGGGCACAAGCACCACCTCAACACTCAGAAGTTGACCCAGTGTCCTGCAGGAGATTTGGGGAGCCCAGGGAGGCTGATGGATTGGAGCACAGGCTGGGACACTTACTGGGCAGGTTGGTGAGCTGCACGTGGTAGGCCAGGGTCAAGGCTTTGGGATCAGAGTTGCGCAGGCAGTTGGCCAAGACGGTGGTGTTGTCTGTGGAGCAGCCCACCTTTTCTCCAAGCTGTGGCAGAAGACAGAGAGAGAAACTTCCTAGCACTGGTTCCCAAAGCCAGGAGTTATTGTTCTAGAGACAGAGCTGTGGGTTGATTTTAATTTCAAAGCAGCAAATTTCAACAGCCCCATTGGCCACAGCTGCTGCCCAATCCCTTCCTAGCCCGCCTCTAAAGAATTCCTTTTTCTCATTTTATCATTTTCCAGGCACGACTTGCACAATACCTTTTTGGCCCAGACGAGCGGGTCCCTCTGGATGGCCCAGCTGCACATCCCAACACCGCTCTGGCTGATGGCTCTCTTGAACAGGCCCTTGTTCTTTGGGGACAGGGTCTGGGAGGCAAAACAGAAACAAGAGGGGTTTGGGGGCAAACTCCTGAGAAGAACCATGGCCTACCAGAGTCCACTGATCACCTCACAGCTTGTGTAGCCAGCCTGGGGAAGCTGCCCGCTCTTGTGGAGTTCAACAGTCTCAGGAGTTCAAGTTCCAAGGTGAGATGTAGGAAGAGGAGCAGAGGAGGGGGACATGGAAAGTATAGGGTGTTTCCCCACAGGTCCC